AAAAAAAAAATCAAGAAACTAAAAATACTTGTAGCTGTATACCAGCTTGCATTATCCTATATATAATTGTTTATCTCTGTTTTTTCTCTTGACCAGTTGGGTCAGATCTTTTATCAATTATTAATAAAACTAATAGTAGTATGTCTATGTAAATATGTTTATGTGCGTATTGTTTTATATGTTTATATTTTTATTTATATATATATATATATATATATATGTATACTGACTTGTTCTAATTAAGCCCTTATCGGGTAACATCACAAAACCGTCCATTTGCCCCAGTTGTTGCTGTGTTCACAGGGAGGGCAAATTGCCCGTACTATGCCAAAGCAGAGCTCCTGGCCTACTATCTCCAGGCTAATTTGCCAGACTTCAGGGTTCACAAGATCACTAAGCACCCTGACGAATGGGAGGTAAGAGATTGTAAATTAAGTCATTGGTAGATATTGCAGTGCTCCAAGGGAGGAATGATCTTATTTGTGGTATAACTCTTATTTTGCTGTATTAGCTTTTTTTTTCTTTTTCAAAAAAAATCAGTACTACTTTATAAGATAGATAGTGCTGCCATGCTTTTTACTCCCCAGCACTTTGCTTGACACCTCAGCCAAGTAACTTGAAGAGCTCTAATGCTAAATGAGTAGCAATTATGTCTACAACCTGCTTAACTTGTACAAATAAATAGAATTCTCATGTTACTCCTCACTTAAAAGTATTCCTATTTTCAGTGCTGCTAAGAAAGCTGGGGAAATCTAAGGAAGTAAAACCAAGCAGAAGATAGTAAAACCTTTTGCTTTTGTGTTGAGGTATCACGGTGGCTCAGTTTGTGTTGTTCTTAAATTTTGCACACACAGTTTTGTTGGTAAGCTGCAAAACATCTTGTAATTATTTACTGAGATCAAATAATGTAATAAAAACGTTGCTAGCAATAACATTTTGGGAGGTTTGCGATAGGAATGGCTTCGTGACATCTGTGAAAGGAATGGATGGGAACACAAACACTCTCCAATCATTTGGAGAGAACTTGTGGATCGTGGAGGGAAGGGCCTGCTTCTGGGAGGAATTAATGATTTTCTGGAATATGCTCAGGTAAGGAATATGCTCAGGATCTGCCTTTAATGCTGTAAACTTGTATTTTACTTTTTTTTTTTTTTTAAAAAGCATAATGTTCTTGTTCCTTTTTTGTTTTTCAAGTGTAAAATACAAGTGACTTTTCCAGTGGGTTTTTGTTTGTGTGTTTGGGCTGTCATTTGATTAGAGATCCCTGTTTTTGATCTTAGCGCTATTACGGTATCACCTCACCAATGCTCAGTGAGGAGATGTTAGCCATTGCCGAGGAGAACCTACAAGCTCACCTTGAGACTGAAAAAGAGGAGGAGGAGATTAAAGGTCTCATCAACCCTTTGCAGATATGGATCACAAGGTGCGAATAAAGAGAATGTCTGTACAAAATTTCACTCACAAATGCATTTCTTTTATCACATTTTGCAGAGCTAATAACTAGCAGGTTATACATGAACCCCTGTAATTTTGCTGAATTGGATCATGTTCTGTACCCCTCTGTATAAGCACTCAGGATATAATCCAGAAAGTATTTTCATTGAATTTTGCATCAGTTTAAGTGAAGGATTCAAGCAGCAAATATTAGAAAATATTTATGAAATAATTAAGATTTTTTTTAATACGGAATGTTTTTTGGAAATACTTAGATAAGTAAACTTTGCTTTGAAGTTCTTATTTTACAAGGTTCAGCATTTCTGTTAATATTTGCCATTTATACTTACACACCTAAAAGAATATGGTTCTTTTAAGTTATTGCTGACAGTATGCCCAAATGTATAGGATAGAAAACCTTTAAAAGGTTTTTCCTTAGCAAAAAGACCCCACGTTTTTAACTTTTAACTCAAATTGGGAAAAAAAGAGCAAAAAACCCCACAAACTAGTGAATTCTTTAAATGTTAACTACAAAGCAAATTCTTCTTTAATTGGTATAATCAGTTATTTTTTTTTCTGATAAACCACATTTTTTCTCTATCTTTCTCATCAGTGCATCAGCTCCAACCTGCTATCATCTGATCCCCCTATTGGCAAATGGGAAAGTGTTTGGGATGACCACAGAAATCAGTATCCATTTACTGGACACGGAGCAGTTTGACCAAGTTCTGTGCGGTGTTGTGATGGAAGCTGAGGACATGGCCTTCCCGCTGCTCCGCAGCATTGCAAAACACACTAAAATGGAAGAGGCTTTCCTGGAAGCCGATGTTATCGTTGTTCTTGATGATATCCTCTTCAAGCATGAAGCCCCACGCCTCGAGGACTGCGTCAGAGAGCTGAGTGACACCTGTCGAGTGTATGCTGCCCTCATTGAAAAGAATGCCAAGAGTGGTGTCAGAGTCATTGCAGCAGGAAAAACCTTCGTAAACCTTAAGGCATTGATGATTAAGACATACGGCCCATCCATTAAACCTGAAAATATCATTGCCCTTGCAACGTTCTGGGAAAGTGCAGCTAAAGGCATGCTGGCCAGGAAATTGAATGTAAATGCAGCAGGTGAGTATTTGTGTGGTCGGAATTTGGAGATTCCAGTGGATAGAGGTATCCTGGAGTGTGTTTTTCATAGGAACATGCATGCAGAAATGCAGGCACAGCAGCACACTCCTGGAATTTCATGGCTGTACAGAATATGAGGGGTGTGAATAGCAAATGCTGCTGTTCTCTCTGCCTCCAGCCAGGTGGATCTGTGCATGATCCCATTATTGTTAGTCACCACATTAATTGTTGTGCTAAACCCTACCATTCTGGCACGTATATCACGCTGAGAATCAAACTAGGACTTCAAGGTTGCATTTGCACCACACCGTATATTGTTACACCTGGAACACTCAGGCTAGCTGTGAATATAGAAACATATAGAAACAGTATAGAAACAAGACTGCATACTGCTATGCAGATAATAAATGTATAGTAGGGCTGTGTTACAATGTCATTCCTGAGTTAATTAGCTTGTTTTCTCAGGAGGGCCAAGGGTTAAAACGGGAACTCGTTCAGTTCTCTAACACCTTCCTTTGTGTCACTATTCTCTCTGTGTTTCAGAGATAGGTACTAGTTGAAATGACAAATCTAGATATTTTGGGGGCCAAAAAAACGGAAAAGTATCTTTTAAGATAACTTTAAGATAATAATAATTATTCAAGAAATTCATTTTGCACCAAAACAGATGCATTTTTTAAAAAAATAATTTTCTACAGATCACTGTTTGGTAATTTACATTTGCATTAGGAGGGCTTTAAAAAGAGCATTGCCATATGTTTGCAGTAAGTTTTCTTTTGCTTTCAAACATCTAAATATTTACTAGGCTTACTCTAATAGATACAATAATTTTCTATAAGTTAGAGTTTCTTTTTCAGCTTGTGAGGTTTCATGTAATGTTACCGAAACAGGTTAGTTGCAGTTTTCAGCTGAAATGATCTTTGTGATCAAAGCAGGACACTGAGTCAGGGAATAATTCACATTTAAAGGATCTTCTGGAGATCATCTAATCCAATCCATGTTGTGAAAGCATTTGTCTTTCTTTTCATTAATTTGTGTGTTTTTCTCTGTTACAGGAGTTAAAGATGTGATTATTTGGGGCAATGTTACTGGCTGGAGCTACATTGATTTCTCACATGCAAGAGTTTATGGATTTGACAGTGCTGTTTGGGGTCCACCTGATTTTTCACGTCCTTTGTGCAATGTGATTCATAATAGCTGCAGTGCAGAGTTCCTTCCAAAGTAAAAACTAAGTGATTTATATTAATCTTTTTCTGAACTTTTTAAACAGAAAGATTCTGTGTTCAAGATCTGTCTTCACTGACAGATCTTTTACTGTATATAAAAGAAATACTCAAGCTGAAGTACTCAGTCCCCAAAAGAGATTGAGTAGTTGCTAGGGCTAAACATAGTTCTAACTCCCATGCCAACTTTGGCTATTGTTGTATTTTCCTATATATTGAGTGTGTTTCTTTTCTGTCATATCAAGAGCAACCCATGAAAGGGCAGAAAGGCCAGCTAGTCATTTTGTTTCCTCATGCACACAAGGTATCTTTGAAATAATACTAAATGTATATCTGCTTCTTAAAAATAGCTGAACTACCTTGAAATATGGTCTGAAGGGGCTAATGCTGTCAAATTCCCCAAAGAAAGGAGTTGCTAACACCTGCATAAAATGATCCCTGGCAGCTGGATCGTTTCTTGCCAAGGGGGAAGCAGCAGAGAAAGGATAGTTGGCATAGTTGTAGTGAAGAGGCAGCAGCTGTGATATGTGCTTGCATTTGGCTGTATTTGTATTTGTATTTGGCTCCTGTTTTGGAGTCTTCCAGCCTTTGCTGAGCCACTGAAAGAGGAGGCCACAAGCACTTTTGTTGGTTTGTACTTCTGCTGTGACTAGCACAATGTGACTCTGGTCTGTGCCTAGTCCTTATGTTAATTCTTCTAAGTAACGATAGTAGGGGTTATGACTTGAAGAAGAGACCTGACTTTCATAGGTAAGGATGCTTGTTGTTAGCTTGTGTTTTCTCTTTTTAAGTACCTTGCCTTAAGCACCCAAGTTTAACGCATTACTGTTAACCTCCCTTGGTTTTAATTCTTACTTCCTGTAGAAAACTAGTCTTCCTACTCTTTTTTTCTTTTTCTTTTTTCTTTTTTTTTTGATAGTGGCAGCAAGATATGTTCAGAATTTCTGTCTGCACGGAGTTCAGTGAATTCCCAGAAATATCACGGTGTGGGAATGTCACCTGCTCATGCAGTAGCTACTATACTCAGATACTGGTATCAAGGCTCTCCTCCTGGGGAGATTGTTTCTGTGGGAATACTTTCTGAAGGTAAATCTATTTTTACTTGACATGTTCTCAGAAGACATCTCATTACCATTAGCAGCTTTAATGTTTTTTTTTTTATCAAGCTTTTTAATTTGATCATAAATCGTAAATCAAAAGATTCAATGAGAGATTGAGAGTTTATTTCAGCATAAGAGCTTCTGACTCTAAGCAATTGCAATGTACAGAGCTTATGATTTGCTATTCACTTTTTACCAGCATCTTTTAGGTTAATGTCCTTTTGCAAATTTAGTTTAGTTTAGCTTTTCTTGGAGTACATATTTTGCTCAAGGACTGTTTATAATTCTTAGTACTTGGGCTATAAAAGCATGTTCTTGTGTAGTTATGTGAAGCAATAAATGGAATGTTTTACAACAGCTCTTTAGCCCTTGCATGAAATAAGAGTTTTAAGATTTCCCCTTTTTAAGATATAAAATTGTTGCATGCACGTAAAACTAAAATTCAGTAAAATCACAGTAAAAGTGAGGCCCTTTGCCTTTCTCAAAGTAGAAAGTACCAATCTCTGTTTTTGCTAAGGTTTTGTCCAGTTGAAGACTTCTGTAAGACTTAATCTTGACCCTGGTAATGATGTGGGTTTTAATCTGAATTTATCTGTTAGGGGTAATTTTTTTCTCTTCTTCAGGTCAGTTTTGTGTTCCTGAAGGGATTGTCTTTTCCATGCCAGTGAGATTCCACGATGGTATCTGGGAAGTCATGACAGACTTAGAAATTAATGAAACAACTCAAGAAGTTCTGAGACTCTTAAGCCATGATCTAGTACAGGTGATGATTTCTTGTATCTAATAATATGTTTACCCAGTCACCTATTGGTATAACAAAGTTTAATTTGGGGTACTGAGACCCTTTCTTCAAATATTAGTCACCTACAAATTGTGCACACACAGTTACTTATGTAAAATAGTGTAGTATTAAATATGGAAAGGAACAGGCAACTGTTCCATTGCTTGAAAACGAGATGATAAAATATATTTACCTACGTAAATGCAGGATTTGCCTCATCAAATTCCAGCGGCTTTGTGCAGAACAGAGGTATTGGCTGTAGTTTAATGTTGCTACATTCTGTGCTCTTGATCTTGATTTTGCTAGTGTTATATTCAGAGTAGTTCCATGTCATGAGCCAGATCTGCTGAAATTCTTGTGGCTGTGATTATGCACAAAGAAAGAAGACTTCTATATAATTTGGATTTTGATTTGTTTTTAGAAAATACAAAATCTGCAAGCAGTAATTTCATTGTTAAATCCTTTTTGCCTCACTGAATATCACAAAGCTAATTTCACTAAATATTAGTATCCAAAAAAGACTGGTTACAAATTCTGCATTCTATGAGCAGCCATAATAGGGTAGTTTTCTCTTGAACATATTTTAAGTTCATGACAGAAATTGAAGTGGAGCGAAATAATGAGTGATAAGAAAACTATCTTTTTCATTCAGGAAAAGCTTGTTGCACTAAGGAAAATAAGAGAAATGCGTCCATATAAAGATGGTAAGTTCACTAGTAAAAATATTCCCTTTAAGACGGTGTTGGTGCTACCCCAAGTAACTTGCTGGATAAGTTCTTTCACTGTACATCCTATCATGTTTTTGAAGCTATTCTTTACTAGTATAAACCTATAAATAATAAAAATAATGGATCAAATTGCTAAGAGAGAAAACATACTATAAATTGAAGATTAAATTTCTATTTTTTTCTGTTTATTACAGTATTTACCAATTTATTCGATATCTTTAGTCTGTAAACCAGACAAAAGAAGAAAAGGTTGAAATACTCAGAAAGTGTAGGTTTGAAAAAATTATATCCTCGCTTACTGCAGAGCAGGCTATTTCAGTAAGTGCCAGACATAACTGCCTTTTCTTCCAATTACAGCAAACGAAAGATCTTTCAAAGATCCCTGTGTTGTAAATTTTTGACCATGTTCCTTTGCTGGTTAATGACATGCAAAGTTTCTCATGACTTAATTTTGGAAAAGGGAAGAAAAAAAAAAAAAAAACCTATGACTAGTTTCAACTAAAAATCTTTAGAACGATTCCAGTATCTCTTTCTAATATGGGGTGTTTGTGGGAAGGCTGCAGACTGCTCTCAGCTAGGTTGTGGGCTACTCTTGCAACATTAGTATTGAGTGCCACACTGTGCAGGTATAACCTGAATGCCCTGTTTATTTTCTTGCATGTTCAAGAATTTTAGGAGGTAGACAAAAATACGGACTGTTTTTGCTTTCTGTTTTTAACAGATTTGGAAACCTTGTCTACAAGTTGACTGCAGGAGAAAATACTGAAAATTCACATATGGTAGATTAAAACATCCTATTATTTTCCATTGTTCAACTAAACATAGACTAAATATCATTGCATTTAAACTATCTTCCTTTTCCAAAACCTAGAAGTCATGGGAAGAAGAATATTTCAAAAAGAGTATTTCAAAACCAGTGTAAATACAGCATCCATAGTCTGGAGACCAAGGGAAAACTCCCACTATTGAGTCTAGATTTTTTTTTTTTGTGTGTGGCCAATGACATTTCTTCAGACCAACAGACTGTTTCAGAGTCATTTCTCAATATCCCAAACAGTAACATTAAGACAATAATGAGCAATTTTGTCATGGATAAAGAATAGTAATTTCATAACTCCAAACTCCTGCCTCATATGGTAGTCATAGATGTAATGAAACCATTTTTGTATAAGAATACATATTCTTAGGTGAAGTTTATTTTTAACACAAATATTGCATACCGGTTGGTCTTCAAGAAGGGTGCTTAGAAGGCTTGCATATCTTTGAGGAAGTTAGAGGAAATGGTGCAATTTCTTGTATGAATGCTGCAGTTTCTTGTGTGAAAGAAAGCAATGAGAAGCAACATGTACAAGAACTGAGATTTCATTGGTGCAGGTATCCTCATGGAAGAGTCAAGATGGGACTTGTAGAGGAAGATTTTAAAGGGTCTTTAAAAAATGGTACAGAATCATTTATTTCATGAGGTTAAGTTGTTCAGGGAATTAGTTTCTGGCTGTGTACGCCCAGAAAATTGGCGGAGTCTTTAGAGAGCATCTGGAGGCAGATGTCTTGGGACAGCATAGGAAGGAAGGATGCTAGCAGTAGGTTTTGCAAGTGTTGTCAGATTTGTTCCATGACTTGCTCTTATCTAAGATGTGAAGGGAAGGGTAACTTCTGCAGTGTGTATTTATATTTTTGTTTTGTCTCCCTACATGGAATATGGTCTGGCATGCATTTTTTTATATTCCTCTTTTCTACCTGGGTAGAAGGTAGTTCAAACTGTGCAGTTCAAGCACCAGCATTACACAGCTCTTAATGAGAAAGAAATGAACTGTTCTGCAACATATAAGCAGGTTTACAGGGCTTCTTGTGTTATGAGAAAGGTGTGGAAGTCTCTTATACCTAAGATTACTCTAATTAGGTTAGGCTTGTGGTTTGACAGAAAATTTGATCTCATGGTGGCGTACCAGCATGGAAATTGAATCATAGAATGCAATCATAGAACCGTTAATGTTGGAAGGGGCATCTAGAGGTCATCTAGTCCAACCCCTGCACACGCAGGGTCACCTAGAGCACGTGGCACAGGACTGCGTCCAAGCGGGTTTGAAGATCTCCAGAGAAGGAGACTCCACAACCTCTCTGGGCAGCCTGTTCCAGTGCTCTGTCACCCTCACTGTTAAGAAATTTTTCCTTAAGTTCCTGGGGAACTTTTGGTGTTTCGGTTTGGGGCCATTACCTCTAGTTCTGTAGGTGGCCACCAGTGAAAAGAGGCCGCCCCCTCCTCCTCACTGCCTCCCTTGAGGTACTTGTAGACACTGATTAGATCCCCTCTCAGCCTTCTCTTCTCCAGGCTGAACAGGCCCAGCTCCCTCAGCCTCTCCTCATAGGGCAGATGTTCCAGGCCCCTGATCATCCTTGTGGCCCTGCGCTGGACTCTCTCCAGCAGCTCCACATCCCTCTTGTCCTGTGGAGCCCAGAACTGGACACAATACTCCAGATGTGGCCTCACCAGGGCTGAGTAGAGGGGCAGGATCACCTCCCTCGACCTGCTGGAGATGCTCTTCTTAATGCAGCCCAGGATCCCATTTGCCTTCTTGGCCATGAGGGCACACTGCTGCCTCATGGTCACCTTGTCGTCCACCATGTTGACCATGAAGGTGAAATTGAAGGTGTAAATTAATTGTTTCCCTGCATTGTATGCCTTCTGCATAAACTCTAGTAATTGGATCCACCACGGAACATGTAAATTTTCTTGTTGGCCTGAACAGTTCTTATTCTAGGCCACTGCTCCTAGGACTTCCTGCGATCCCTCTGTGTGTTGTTGCACGAGCTACTATAGCACCTTGTGCTTTTTGTAACAGTGTCTGTCTCCCACCTCCTTTTCTGTCTCTCTAGCAACATAGTTTCTCAGCAACTGGGAGATGCTAAGTAATGCCCCTCAATTTAGAAATACTGCACTCAAACCATAAGAAAAAAAGAAAGCTTTGAAACAACGATCAAATAAGTTTTATCTTTAATAATTCAGAATATTTATTACTAATTAATTAGTGTTCTCTGTTTTGACTGCTGAGATAATTACCTGATACTTTGATCTGGGCCTTTGCCAGGCATTTGTTGTGAGCAGCAGCATTGAGTTAAAAGCAGAACCTTTAGAACTGTGTGTTGAAGTCAACTTTAGAACTGTGTTGAAGTGCTGTAAAGCTATTGGACTTCTCTGTAAAATGTCTTTCTGTGCATTTGTAACTAGTTTTTATAATTCTTTTTTGCTTTGGAAACATTTATAATAGTATTAAGGGGCACAGGACACACTACGACTCCAATAGTGCGCCACCGAGCAATGTTAGTTCAGATGTGACACTTGGGTAGGCAGTTGCTGCTTCTACATTCATATTTGGTGTGTTATAGGGTAAATGTGCTAAGGTCACCAGAGTAGATCCTGCTCATTTCACCCCAGGGCTCCTGTACTGTTAAGATCCTAACTCTCCATAGGGTGTTTATATATATGTAGGCTGTGTGTATTTTAATAATACCTTTTATAACTTTTTGGAGGCAGGGTTCATTGGCATAACATGTAATGACCTTGCTCTGTGACAACCAGTAAAACACGCAAGCACATAGTTAATTTTGAAACTGTGAATACCCTATACAAGAGTATAGTGTGTTTATCCATATGGGTAACTTAAAGGATGTTGGTTAGACATTGTGCTAGGGAGCTTGCCACCTTAAAAGATCAAGTGCTAATAGATTATGAATGCTGTTTAATTTAGTGAATTCAGGGGGATCTATTCTCACTTGAGAACATATTTGAGTTCTAATTGGAGCTTGACTTGTGTGTTTTTATATTCATTCTCTTGCATTATCTTACGTATGTTTGGTGGAAAAGAAGAAAAAACAGATGATTCACACAGTAAACTGTTCATTTGCAATTCTATCTTTCAGCAAATATCTGGACTATGTGTTGCTCCATGTGGCTTTCACTAAGCACTTAACTTTAATTCACTGCTTATAATTTTCTGATTTCATTAATTTCCCTAACACAGTGGGTTTTTTTTTTTTTTTTTTTCCAAATTGTGTAAAGTTATATACTGCTGCACTCATTTCAGGAATGATCCATGCAAAGTGGATGTGAGCTCTAAAGTTTAGTAGAAAAACAAACAGAATAGTGAGGAAGCAGCAGGGTGGTATATCTATATATATATATATTTTTTTTTTTCAAAGAAAGATTTCAGTAAGAATTGTGGCAGTGTAGTCTATAGTGAAGAAGTAAAGTAAACCTGTATCCCATTATTTTAAATATTTTTAGGTTACTGAAAGCTAAAGTTGTAGCTTTCACCACCTAAAATGGTGAGCAACACATCTGTAATAGACTCAGTAATTATAGAGCATTGAATATTTATCCATCATAATTGGCTTGTTTGCTTTAAAGTTTGTGACAAATGATCAATCATTCTGACTGAAGAATATAAAAAAATTAAACTTTGGATAAGTTCAGCTTTATTTGTTGTTGTTGTTTGTTCTATCAAACCTCCTTTTTTTCCCTCCCATTATAAGCTGTATCTATGACCTTTGGAGAATCATGTAACTTAGTAGATCAGTTATACCCAGGGTTTTTCAACTCTATCAGTAAACAAAATACAGCTACTATACTGAATTTATAGGTATGTTTTTAAGTTTAAAAAGGTGACATAATTTAGCAGATTAATGACACCAGACCTGAGGTAAGACTATAAGTTCCCATTATTATCAGGAATACCATGATCACTGCTTTCAGACATGTCTGAGGAGTTAAGTTCATGGTTTTACTTCCTTTTCCCCTTCATTCTTAGCTCAGAAAGAGGTAATCTTAGCTGATGACTTTACTTCAATTTCAAGATTTTTAAAGATAGAGCTGCAAGCAATAGCAACCAATGAATCTTGGGAAGGGGCTGGTGGAAAGGGAGATTCTCTCTTCCCTGGAATTACACACTATCAAATGTGTGGTAATCCTGTATGTGCACAACAGAGCATCGAATAGAAATCAATCCCATTTCCTACGCTTCAAATTGTCGCGGGTCTGATTTCCCCCTCAAGCAATTGTACAGCTGCTAGAGTTACTTCTAGGTTATTCTGAGTAGAAAGGACTACAGATCCTTTGCAAGCAGTTTGGTCAAGTTTCTCTGCATGTGGCAGCAAGACTTTTATGTTGTTTTATGCAATGTCTATCCAATTTTATCTTTGAATTGCATCCAGTAAATTGTTCAGATTAAAAAGTTTGATTTGAATAGACCTGCATGTCTCTGTCTAGAAACTGTGCTTTTATGTTTCAGTTTGTTTCATTATAGAACACTTAATACCATTTCAAATGGATCTGGACCTGCAGGGTAAGGACTTCTTTCTATCAGTTTTCTCTGTTTTTCTTATGAGACATTTCTGTGTCTTTTTGGACACAAACTAAGGAGCTGTGTTCTGTCCAGGGGATGATCTTCATCTCTATCAGAAATGAAATGTTTCAGTTGTGTGGCTTCAAATATCCTTGGTAAATAATAATCCATAATAATTAAATTATTAAATTAAAAAATAAAATAAAATAAATTATAATCAATTAAATTAATGAAATGTTTCAGTTGTGTGGCTTCAAATATCCTTGGTAAATAATAATCCATAATAATTAAATTATTAAATTAAAAAATAAAATAAAAATAAATTTTATCAATTAAATTACTATTAATAAATATTTATTTGTATAAGTGATTATAATAATTAATAATTGAATAATTGATAATTAAATT